TGAGCCATGGAAATTTAAAATTAATGTAGGACACTGATACTTTTATCTTCATCCTATATGTGACTGATTCTTTCACCTGCCTACTGGCACAAACTCAATTTTGTTCAACTGAACAAGCATTCGATGCCTATCTATTATAGATGAGGCCCTGGCAGGCTCTGGGAGAGATTAAAAATAAATAAATAACATGACATATTACCTGGCCTCAAGACATGTGCACAAATAACATAAATGGTAATGGTAGAGGTGCTTTAAGAGAACAGTGGAGGACCTAGTTTTAGCTCAAGGAGGAAAATCATGAAAAATTCAATGAAGGAGGCAGTCTTTGAGTTAGGAAAGGGGAAACAAGGATATCCTGGATATGGGGAATAGTGGAAGCATATCAAAGGGGTGGAACGATGCAGGGCACACTCAGGTGAGGAGTAACAAGCGATGCAGCCAGAAACAAGACAGAAGTCAGACTATGGAGGTTGTGGGCCACGCTAAGGAGTTTGGATAATACTGTCTGGTAGGTAAGAAGGAGCCACTGAAAGAGCAATGGCAAAATTAGTGTTGCGTTTTAGGACGATTACTCTGACTGCAATCTTTAAGAGAAGCTGGAGGAGGCTAGAGATAAGAAGTCACTATAGTAGTCCAGGTGAAGGGCTCCAGCGTCTTCAAGCAGGTAAGAAGCAGTCAGATGGAAACAAGGACCTGAATACATAAGTCAACAAGATTTATTGACTGACTTCCTGTGGGGACAAGACTTAAAAATCTGAGGATGACAGGGTTAGGGAGGCAACATGACCAGAAAGTAGTGAGTCCATGAAACAAGCTGGGAAAAGGAATGAGAAGAATTTTGGAAGGCGAAGAAGTCAACTATTAAACACTAAACTTGGAATAAAAAGCCCTAGGTTTGACTTCTAACTGCACTTCCTCTGTTCCCTGGGTGTCCCTATATTTAATCTCTCTGGGCCTCATTTGCTCAGCTGTCAAATGTGTGTGCACATGGGTAGGGGGATGAGGAGGGCAAGATTCGCTGTCTCAAGGTCCTTTCAGCTGTTAAAATTTTATATGCTGGTATGTTTGTGGTCCTGGTGGCCCATCTTTGTAAATGTAGCAGGCAGCTTGAAATGGGGCTCTGGAAATGAGGAGCAAAGCAAAGAACAGCCAACAAGCACCGAAGTTCCACTCTGAGCTTCTTAAATTGCAAGGAAGGTACAAGATACAAATTTGGCACGCAGTTTTACGAAAGTATTAATTATTTTCCCTGTTTGTTTTCTTTCATGTACTTTCTCATTCTTTCCACTTTTCTCTCCTATATCTTCCCATTTTTCCTTAGGATTGTATAGTTTTTCAATTTTCCCTCTGATTAGCATTTCTTTCCCCCTTTTCACACTCCTCTGAAACACGTCTTTTTTTTCCCTTTCATACTCTCACACTTAACACTCTATCCCAAGAAAAGCAAAGATTCATAGAATCTTAATCCCTTGTCCCATTGAATTTAGACTGAGTATAGACTAAAAATGAGTCTGTAAATCTGATTTCTATTCTAGACAGAAACCAGGATAATAAGCTCTCCCACAGCAGTAAAACAAACCCCTGGTACTATTAACCTTGTCAGATTCACATTAACCCAACTCCTGGGCAATGCTAGTTGGGGGCATGGTCTCTGATTCAGTTCTCAAACCTCTCAGCAGTTTGAAAGAATCACACTTTTTCTCCTTCCTGAGGAGGAGTTTGGGTAAAGTGACACTTCAAATGTACTGTTTTTACAAAAAGACTGAGGCAGGGCCCAGGCTAAACCTCTCTCTCTAGGTCTGGGTCCATCTCTCTTCCTTCTTGACTTTCAATTTCTTATCTTCCTAGGCTTTATTCTCCTTAACTTTGCTGATGTCTTTACAGTGAGCCCAAATAATAGGCTTATCTATGATCCTATGGCATTTTTCCAAGATGGAAAGAAATGAGACAAACTATAGAGATTCAAGAAAAGAAGAGAGGAAAAAATACCTATGAAATACTGGGAGCACCTTCCCAAGCCCACCCATCTTCCTTTTCTGATTGCAAATCAAATTTCTTGGAATCCTAAACAGCCAGGTTTTTTCTGTTTGTGGAACCCAGGCTAACAAGAGAAAAGGTGGGAGGACCCTAAAGGAAACCTGTTTGTGAAATTTAACAATGGGCTCCATTGAAAAATAAAAAAGACATTTTTGCTGAGGGGGCTAGAAACGTGATTTGAATTTAAGACCCAAAATAAGTTCTCTCTCCTTCTGTGCCTTTTTTAATCTCTTGCTTTGGCTTTTTCCTTTCTTCCTCACTTCCCCTCTCTCTTCCACCTTTCCCTGCTATTTTTCTTTTTGCCCTCTGGCTGTCTCCCCTTGAATCCTCTTCTAATTTCCTCAGTCTTGTGCCTCATCTGTCTCCCCTTTTCTCAGGGGAATGGATGTGAGGAAAGGAAAGTAAAACAGAGAAAGAAAAGGCCAATGGAAAAAACATGTAAGACAACCTAAAGGTAATTTTTTATAGTTATAAATCTCTATAGATATAAAGGGCAGATGTGACACTTCCACAAAAAGTTGTCAATAAATTGAACCTTTTAACATTGAATCCTTTTTTTTTTTTTTNAAAAAAAAAAAATTTTTAGGATGAAAAATGCTCTGCAGGTGAAAAATTTTGTTAGTCTCACTATTATGATCACTATTAGAAATGTAGAGAAAAATGAATCCCTATATAAATAGCAAAAAACATAGCATGTTAAAGATACAAAGGATCCCAAATTCTTCAAGGCCCTGCCCCCCAGGATTCTCAGCTTCCCATGTCAATTATCTGATGACTCTACTGGAGAGAAGAATAAATAGATAAATTTTTTAAAACAAAGACAAAAACATATTTTGATTCTAAAGTAATCCTCTTAAGCCCAATTTAATCAAGCATGGATTTTTTTTTTATTGCCAGTTTGCATCAGGAACATAGTTCCTAGCTAGAGCCTAATTTGAAAATGTTCATTAAGTTCATTATGAATGATAGATATAATATCTAAGAACAGAATGGAATTCACTGGTGCTTTATTCCTGGAACATTTGTAGGATTTTGTAAGATTAAGTCAGGGCACTGTGAGAGTGATAAGTAGGTCCTATATATTTTTCTTCTCCACGACCATGGATTTCAGTGGTACTTTATCACCATGTACTCTGGAACAATGAAAAAAAATTAAACAATGACCTTCTTAAATATTTTATCCTCAAATTCATTACACTTTAAAATGTAAATTTAGCAATTTATATCTAGATGAGTGAAAGACTGTGGAGACATCTATGTCATTTTAGGTCCTTTAGAAGTGAAGGATTTACTTTGTGAAGCATTTATTTTCCTTCTCATACCTTGACAATAGTGCTACTATGCCTCTTCCCTTTGTTTTAAAGAGGATAATGGCAGTCTTTATTTTAATTTGCACCTATTTAAAGTACATTTACTTGATATTTCTCAGTCTCTTGAAAACTTTTATCATTAAGCTTAACCTTCATTTAAATCACCAGACCTATTTAGTGAAGGCTACATGAACATTTATTTGCAAACTCCTCAGAAAATTACTAATTTAACCTTTACTTTAGAAAGATCCATTAGTAGAACCCGAACTGGATGTCTTTGCCAGAACCCTTAAAGTAAATCATAATCATATCTTTGTACTTATCTGGGAAGATATTATCTAAGGGTAATCATTTTTCCCAAATGCTTTCTTTTACTAAAACAGCAATACTTCCAAAATATGTATTGACAATGTGGTGAAGAAACAAAGCTTTGGTGAAAGTTACATGACTTAAGTTTATGTTTTAGCATGCAAATGAGGTTAAGAAATTAAGCATTGTAATTATCGTTAATTTTAAAACTCAGGAATGCAGAAAACAAACTTCTTTATCTAAAGACATTTCTGAAAGGAAAATATTCTGAAAAACTGACAGCTTGTCTCCCATTTTATCAATGACACCATGACAAATGTAGCATCTTGGGCAAATGTAGTATTTATAAATGTAGTATTTACTTGGGGATGTTATCCACCTGTTTAGGGATGGAAGAATAATTTTCCTTCTACCCTTCAAGTTCATTTGGCTGGTCTAATAATCAAAATAACATGAGACAATCAACAAGAGAAAAATAATCAAACTACTACATATGTACACACGGGGGTTCCCTAAGACTATAGGAACCAGTTGAGGCTTACGTGCCCTTCTGGACTAAAGAGAGGGAGGCAGGGGTCTGGGGCTTCACAAGGAAAGCAGGCAATCCACAGGAAGTTAAGAAAGAGCAACCATTTGGTAAACAAATTCTTGCCTGGCCATCCAGAAACAATGGGACACAGTGGGGAGTCAGTCTAACAGAGAGACTTTGCTTGGCTTCTCCCCACTGCCACAATTAGGTCATATTGTAACTAAGGTGATATAGCTCCCTCCCTTTAAGCAGGATTTTAAAATCTGAATTGTTTTAGGCAGGTAAAGGGTGGGGTGGGGGTGGGGGGTTAAAGTTACTTTCTGAGTCTTTCATTTCTTAAAAAAATAACCAGTTTAAAAGAACCGGGCACCCATCCATTCCAGAATTTACCCCCAGGTCGCCATGAGAGCCCATATTGCCAACACAATTGACTCGACTCTATTTAAGCCGCTGAGCTTCTTTCAGTCTCAACCCCAAATAAGTTTTCAGGGACTGGAGAGGCAGCAGGGTAGGGATGCCCCAGCCTCATGGTGAGGCAGGTAATAGATACAATACAAATACATTATATGTTATTGCATACAATTCACTTTTATGGCTTTTAGAAGCTGGATAAGCTTGCATGTTAGAGGAATTTAGGTAATTTTACTCTAATATGTATTAGTATAATCAGTAATGCCCTAGGCTTGCTAAACATGTGTCATTACTACCTACCAGGCATGTAGAGAATGGCTCGTTATCTCATACCCAATAGTTCTTTTCTAAATATTTGTGGTTACACTGGCAAAATTTTTGAAATGTGCTGTTTATTTTTATAGGAGCCCGAGGACTGTTTCAGGCACTTCAGGTATGGAACAAATTCCATTACATTTCTTAGTGATCCTTGGTATCTGGTAGTCACCTCTGGGTCCTGGACCAGAGTCGTTAAGAGCAAAAAAAAATCCAGGGAGATGTTGTGATGAATTCCCTTTCCTGCCTTTGCTCCATCCTGAAGAGTCCTACACTGCAGAAACTCTCTGTCCTCATGCTGCCTCTCAAAGTG